CGTAAAAACAAAATTATTCAGGAACAAGGGCCCTTCGGGACAAAAAGGGCCCCAAAAAGGGCCTTAGGACGCCCAAAATTTTGGGGACTCATCGGATCTTGATTTCTCATATTATTAGTAACTCACAGGTGAAATTTCATGAATGTACACATTTTGTTGTTTATAAAACCCTATTTTACCTGTACTAATTTGCTGGTTGATTTGCAAACCATTGTAGATTTTTTAATGCAATATGACGGTGATAATCCTCGTCATATTTGACCCTTGTCTTAATGTGACAGTCAGTATGCGAGTGGCGACTCACCAAACTAACGACCGACGTCAGAGCCGGCCTTGAAACGACCTTGGTATGTGAGCTTGGGAACACCGGAACTTGGCACTGGAAACTTGGAACACAGGAAAATGGATCGCTGGAACACCGGAACATTGAACACCAGAACATGGAAAACCACAATAGGTTCTTTGAAATGCAGGTTAATCCGGACCACGGAACATAGTGCCATCATGCATGGAACTCAAGAGCATTGAAATACTCAATACTGTAACGAGGAAAAATCGATCTCCGAAACCAGAACATTGGCACATGGTAAAAAGAACTCAGAACACCTCATGGAACATAATGTCGTCGAAAGACGTTTACAGAAACAACGAAGAAGATGTATAGAGTTTATTGGAACGCCAAAGGGTAGGGCAATTGAACATTGGGGCATAGGATGAAGAACATGGGGAAACCAGAAAATGAATTTCACAGTAAGACAAAATAATCTCCTTTTGTCGGCGTATTTAAATCCAATTTATTTGCATTCGTGTAAAAAAAAACTTTGGACATTTTTGTTCGTTTGAACTACTAGTTATGCATCTAAAAAGGTCAAACGTCTGGGTTATTTTGAGTTTTTAAGGATTCACCAATAGTAATGTTCAAAAATGAGATCATATTGCAGAGTTTCTTCCTAGAATAATCTTGCCTGCTAGATCTAGATTCTAGACAGTATCTATCGCATCGGACTCGGCCCAATTCACACAACAAATCCTCAAAGTTAGTTTTATGGTTATCTATTTGCATTTTGGATTTTCTTTCACTATAACTTTACTCTAGAAGTCAAAACATTCATATTGACTCAATGTTTTTGTGCTGGAAAAGTTTTTCCTGCAAGCTTATTTAGTAGTTTGCCTCCAGTCAGACTGCTGGTCTTTTTTTGACAGGAAATGTACATGGATCACTGTTCTGTTGTTAATGAACAATATTCTCAGTCAACTATATGCTTAATTTATTGAAAACAAAAGGAACTTTACATAACTTGAACTCTTAACTCTTTATAATGATTTATTTTGGCTTATTCCTTATTGTCACTCCTGGCAGAGTTAGAGAGGTGAACATCAAGTTGAGGGTTGTTACTTGCTTGTGATGGTTCATCAATAATTCAATAAGATGGATGAAAAACTGCTTTGTATGCTGTGAGACAAAGATTAATGAATGTAATATATTTGAAGAGGATCAAAAGCGAGGTTCTTTTGCTAGTTGTCTATGTAGCCGAGTTATTGTAGTGCTCGCCTTTAATTCTTAAGGTCGCTGGTTCGATTCCAAGCTAAATTGTTTCTGGACCCATATGTCATCATTTGTCACAGGGTTATTAAATAATTGTGCTTTTTACATGTTGACGTTGATAGTAAAACGTTTACGGTTCCCTTAAAACCATAAATAATGCTAATGTCATGTAGATAAACACAAAATATAAAAATTTGCAAACAAATTAAAATTTCTATGAAATTGTTCACTTTTATGATCTACTAGCTGACCCGACAGACGTCGTCCTGTCCGAATGTGGTGTTATATCAAATGCTTTTTCATTTTCAAGATGAGCTCGTTTGCATGGCTCAATCACGTCCTGGTTGAAGTTCGTTCGCTACGCTCACTCACCTTTAGGTTGGAGCTCGTTTGCTGCGCTCACTTGCCTTCAGGTTAGCTCGTTCGCTACGCTAACTCGCCTCCAGGTTGAAGTTTGTTTGCTACGCTCACTCACCTTTTGGTTGCAAATTAGCTGTTGTCATAAATTTAAAAAAATAATAGTGCTGCACTCTGTTGGTAAATCTATTAACTTTTTAATGCTATTGAACATCACAGAATCAAATTGTTTAGTTGAACCAGCTGTTAAGATTATTTAATTCCGTATTAATAAAGTTAACACGGGAAACTCCATAGCCACTGGGAGCCCTTTTGAGGGATCTGCACCAAACTTCACACAAACCATCCTTGAATAATGCTTAATAATGCCTGAAAGTTTCATTACAATCTGTCGAGTGGTTTCGGAGTCCATAAAGGACAAACAAACAAACATACATACAAACAAACATACATTGGATTTTATATATATAGATTATGGCCACAACTAAGACCCAACCCAACCCAAACTAGGATGAATAATAGAAATATTGTGGTAAGTCCTCAAGGCTGTGAATATTTTTGCCACTCTCACTGTGACAAACTAAGGCACCATACTTTTTTAGGCTGCAAACAGTCTGTGAGGCGACTTGTCTGCAAGAGAATGTTCATTTTTAAAAGAGTGTTAGATTTATAGAATTGGTAAATAAATCACCTGCGAAATCTGTGTTCAAACTGTAGCTTAAAACCTAAACAGTAATAGTAAAAACAACCTATGTTTTCAAAAATAATTAAAAAAATAGAAAAGGGATATATTGGTGGTGCAATGCTGATTCTCAAATGAAGTGCTTGACTCACAGAAAGCCATGTCACTCAGAATTGTCATGAATACTTAATGAGAGTCATATTTTCTTGTCAAGTCAATATGAAGTCATACCATTGACAGGGCTCTAATGTCCTTAGGTCATTTTATTTAGTGAAGTGTTACATTAATGATTTATTCAATTATTTACACAGTAATAAATTTTAATTGTACATTATGTTGACATATTTTTTTGTGTTTTTGTGTCATTAAGCTGCAGGTATCATCCTTGACAGTTTTTTTTTGAACAAACAAAGTTTGCTAAAACAAAATATAAGGTTAGTGTACTTGCCCTTGGATCATTAAAAAAATTAAATAGTGTACATTTCTCGTTTGTATGAGCTCTCGATCAAAAGCTATGTTTAATAGTTCAAAACCAAACTGAGCTCTTGTTCATTATTGGGCAGTAAATGATCCTGATTAAAGAACCAGCTGATATAAAACAAAGCTGTCATCTCATTCATTCACCATTCATCCTTTACTCATCTTCTCTTTACAATTTTCACCCTCATGTGTTGGCGTCATACAAATCTAATCTCCCCACCCATACCAAAGAGAATCTACTATCCAAAACCTCAATTCACCGACAATGGCGACAGTTCAGTTATGTAGTTTCAATATCCCGAATTAGCAATGCCGAGTATGTGACGTTCGGCCATGATGATCCTGTGACATCACAGCCAGTGATTGTCAGAGCTAATGGCAGCCAGAGTCAAGGGTTAATTGTATAATAACTAGTGATTACTGCTTGTAGCTATGCATGTGTGTTAGAGGTCGTACGTAAGGATGTCGGTGATGCTACCTTGCACAGTGGTTAGAAATGGTCTGTGAAATGAAGTTTTCGGAAGGTTTTGCCATAGATAAAACATACTCCCTTAGTAGATTTGTCATCAATATGTTAATAGACAATGTTTCTTGAAAACCTTTTTTTCTCAGCTCTGTGAATCGTAGAGAAAATCTACGCATATTGTTAGAAAGATATTTACCTGCAGATGTGCAGAATCCCTTTATAAACTAAAATAGACTACAAAATAACCCAAAAAATGAATTTAATATTAAAAAAAAATTAACATGTGCCTTATGGGTTGCCATGCTGGTAACGGAATAACAACAAAATATAAACAGAAAATCAAAACAAATGGAATATATTCCAATTACATGTTTTATTTACAGCGTGGTGTGAAAATAGAGAAGTTTGCCCAATACGTAATTTTGGAGGCGACCACTAGTCCTTATGGAACAGCTGAAGCCAATTTTTTTGTTAGTTCTGTAAGCCAGGTCACTAGGGTGTGTTTTATTTACAATTTGTTTCGTGTTATTTTAGTAATTTAAAACCCCGTTTAATCAAATGAAACTATCTAATCACAAACAATACCGGGTCTCCTAGTTATGCAACCAAACAGTAAAGCACAAATCATGAAAATAACCTAAAATAATATAAACAAATTTTGTCTACACTAGCAATCAATGTCGACGTACATGAACTATATAGACACGAAAAACAAGCTTCAAAATTTACAATGGGATGAGAGTCTACTTGTTTTGCTTTGTCTATAGTTTTGTTTGCTCAATTAAAACTATTTATTAATTGTGATAAAATTATTTGGACTGAAGAGGACAAAGTCGGAGAACAGTCCCAGCGGACTTATCCCAGCGGACTTGTCCCAGTGGACTTGTCCCAGTGGACTTGTGCCGGTGGACTTGTCCTGGTGGACTTGTCCCGGTGGACTTGTCCCGGTGGACTTGTCCCGGTGGACTTGTCCCAGTGGATTTGTCCCGGTGGACTTGTCCCAGTGAACTTGTCACCCATTGAAAAGTCACAATCTCGCTCACACTCACAAGTTATACATTTCAGTAGTCAAATGAAGGGTATAGGTATAGATAGACTTTCCTATTATAAACTTCTTGAGTTGTAGGTCATTTTTGAACGAAAATGAATGTACTATAGTTGAATTGACAGAGTAAGTTGAGAGGGAAAGTTTAGCCTTTCCCTAAAAATATGGCTCAAGTGTAAATGTTTTCATTGGTAGACCATTTAGAAGGCTGGGGAATTAAGTATAAATTAACATAACCACTCCACTAGCTAAATTTGTTCAGGGTGAATTTGATTTTTTTCTTGTTTTGGAAGGTTTATTTTGTATGTAAAAACATATTTATAATAGTTTTAAGTCGTAGATTTAACGTTTGACTGTTTACCTTGGCCTTGTTATTTAATATGATGTTCTGACGTGTAATTCTAAATGTCCGGTTGGGTTTCAGATGTCAAGACTATTCTCAAGTCAGTCAGTGGTCGGCTGCGCAGTGGAGAGCTCACGGCCATCATGGGTCCGTCAGGAGCTGGCAAGTCTACCCTGCTCAATATCCTTACTGGATACAAGTAAGTCACATACAACAATGTTCAAAAGGAAGACAAGCACTTAAAAAATTATTCAAACCCCTGAAATATTGTGGATATGCCGAAAAGTCTTAAAGGTGTTTCTCATGCTTGGAGACTCCCTTTAACATTTTATTGAACCCGTCTTTTATACTAAATCCCAGTGTTATGCGTTGTTGGTCTGCCGTTTACAAGCCAGTAGACACCAATGGTAACCTAAACCAGACAAAGTTAAGAGCAAACTTTTATTTAAGTGATAAAAATGATAACAAGTGATTTCTGTCCAGGGTGTCTGGTATGTCGGGATCTATCACTATCAACGGCCACGAACGCAACCTGTCTCAGTTCGCCAAGTTGTCCGCCTACATCATGCAGGACAACCAGCTGCACGGCAACCTGAGCGTAGACGAGGCGATGCACGTTGCCACTGCGCTCAAACTGGGCTCCGACCTGTCTAAACATGACAAACAGGAAGTGGTGAGTCTGTGTGGAGCTGTGTATGGATATTGTCTGTACTTGAATGTGTAAATAGTCTGGAGAATACTCGTCTCACCGTTGGTTTGAATGGTTGTAAGTAAAGGATCTCCTAGTAACTTACTGATGGTATATCATTTTGTATATGGTAAAATTTAGTAGATGGTATATCTTCTAGTGTGTTATATCATTGAATATGGATAAAAATATAAATGATTTTGATGTTGAAATTGTAATAGATTTTTGGATACGTATGTTCCAATCACACAATTTCAAGACAAATATATTATTATTAGACAAAGTCGTTATTTTTATTGGAAAATTCTCTTGAAAACATCAACTTGGAAAATGAGCGGAAAACTCATCCAACACGTTGATTAGAAATACATAGGAGCTTGACATAATGCATGTTAGAGTGCAGTAATAGCCATTCACTATATAAGCTTATCAAAATTCATGATTCATTTGAAAATGCATTGTTTTGATTGTTGTGTAAATTTTTTTTGTGGTTTTGTTCTTGATACAGGTGCATTCTACATTTTCATCAGATGGACTTTGTTTGGTTTCATTACGTACTTTACTCACTTGGTTGTAATGATTATTACTGACCTATGGTATAAATTTTGTGAATACTACTTTCCAACTAACTCAAACTATATTCAAATCAAACACTTGAATTTAAAACTACAACTAAACACAATCTAACTGTTGGTTTGATTTGAAAACTCAAACGCTTAATTGACAATACAACAATACAATGCTCAAATGAAGAGTTATACTCCAACAAATTAACAAAGTGCCACCACTACTGATTGACAAAACTGGATCAACCTCCTTCATACAGTATTTTTCAGTTCCCACCATTTAACTAAAAGATGCTGTCTTGCTGTCAGATGCCACAGAATCTTGGACTGTGCTCTTAACAAATTTACAGCTATACCCAAACTAAGAATTAAATTAAATCGACCAATGATACCACTGCTGATTGATAAAACTGTATTTACCAACATACAAAACAGCTCTCCTGTATTTGCTTGCAAATTATACAGGGTGTCCCGGAACTCTCTACCAATATCTTAGGGCATTGTTCCTGGGTAAGAAACATATCTAAATATCATATTTAAATTGTCCGGAAGTCCTTAGTTACTCAGATAGCCGCCATTTTGTTTTTTTCACTTATTAATTTTTTTCTGAAAATTGGTTGAACATACGAAGTTGAAACTTTGCCCAAACATTTATGACAACTAGACAAAGCTACAAGAAAATTATGACGATTTTTCAAATTCATAAAACAAAATGGCGGCTGTTTAAAATTTTGTTTCTTGAATTACTCGAAGACCGTTGATGTTACAAAGATTTTACAAGAATAACTATTTTAAGGCAATTTTATTACAAATCGATCGACACCTTAATCTTTAAGATCGGACGAGTATTAACTGAGATATGGCAATTTTAGTGATACGTGACCGCTGGATATTAGTTGCAGCGCATGCTGAAAGCGGTCACGTATCACTAAAATTGCCATATCTCAGTTAATACTCGTCCGATCTTAAAGATTAAGGTGTCGATCGATTTGTAATAAAATTGCCTTAAAAAAGTTATTCTTGTAAAATCTTTGTAACATCAACGGTCTTCGAGTAATTTAAGAAACAAAATTTTAAACAGCCGCCATTTTGTTTTATGAATTTGAAGAATCGTTATAATTTTTTTGTAGCTTTGTCTAGTTGTCATAAATGTTTGTGCAAAGTTTCAACTTCGTATGTTTAACCAATTTTCAGAAAAAAATTAATAAGTGAAAAAAACAAAATGGCGGCTATCTGAGTAAGTAAGGACTTCCAGACAATTTAAATATGATATTTAGATATGTTTCTTACCCAGGAACAATGCCCTAAAATATTGGTAGAGAGTTCCGGGACACCCTGTATAGTCACTGCTGTATGTAGGACTAAGCTCTAACTAATTTATAGCCACAGAGAAGTAATGTACAGAGGAAACATTAAATGGTACACTTAAGTGGTGTCTAGCACTAGTGCTGGTGTCTAGGGGAATGACCTCCCACCTACCTCGCTAGGGCTCGCCGTCATTTACCACAATGCTCACGGTGGAGGAAGACCCTGTATCCTGTGTGATAGGAATTTCACCACAAGGCTCTCCGTTCAGGCTCTTCTTGAAGTATTATTTCCGGCACAACATACCAGAGCTGAAAGTGCATTGTTGTCCAATAAGAATGTTTCCTCTGTACCTTACTTCTCTGTGGCCGAACTAAGAACTAAACTGATCCACAAATAATGCCACTACTGACCGACAAAACTGAGTCAACATACAAAGTCCCATCCTGTGTTGTTAACAAGATTTTCAGTCGCCGCTGTTTCCAGGATGGAATTGGTGAATTGCCCTCTACCATGTATGATAGTAGAGGTCGGCTGCGTCACCGTGAGTATGTTAGTATTTCAGGATTAACGGTTTGTTCCAGCTTGGTAGCAACGTTTGAGTGTGTTGCACGGGTCGTGTTGGATTTGAAAAGTGTTTAAATACTGTGTTAATCATGTAAGAGTTGTTTCTGTGTCTAATTGCACTGCTATACCTGTAAGTATTTGATAGGTGTAATTTTCAGTAAGTTTAAAAAATATGTAGGTATAAGCATGATCATCTTTGAATTAATTGTAAGTAGGTTTAAAAAAGCTTATATTCTAAACTTGTTCAGATACAATATTATATTTTTCATCCTTTTTTTTCACTAAAAATTATATTTTTGCCTATTTATGTTTTTAGATCTGAAAACTTGAAAGAGTTAATTCCATTTACTTAATCCACAACCTCTTGAATATTGTATTTATCATAAAACATAAAATATAACATAAAATATAGTACATAACCAAAATTGTTTGAAGGTTTATTTTGGTTTATATTGCTTTCATATCATGGTTTAACGGTAAAGCACCATCTACTAATCATTATTTAATAAATTTAACCCTACAGTAAAGCTACCTCACATTTCGTTTGCTGTTAAAAAACTAAATTTTTTATTTGTGTTTTAATTTGGAATGTGAAAATGAATGAACTGCTTTTGTGTGAGCTACTTTTAAACTTTTAATTTACATGGTAAAAATCTCTTCTAATCTTTGCTGATTGTATGGCATGCCCCCAGCTTATCTTTTTTCGAAGCCTGTGATTTAATAAAGCTTTAAAGTACTTTTCTGTGTAGTTTATTTCATGTTAGAACGCTTATTTTATTCGATTATACCTGTATTTCCCTTTTTCTGCTTATGTAGAAGTACAGTATTGCTATTTTTATCTTTAGAACAAATACTGTTCAACATTTTTTAAATATTATGTCATACACTCTCTGGTGTTTCCTTATGAGTATATAAAATAGATTAACTACTCTTAATGCTATAAATTTCTTGTTTCATCTTCATCTCAGTTCTCAATATGATTAGGTTTATACTATCAAAGACCATTATTTTAAATCAATTTTTTGGCCGTCTCATCAGGTAAGTAAAAATGCTTGATATCCTTGTGACCCGATAAAGTTGTGTTATTCTAAGATTTTAAGGATGTTTTGTAACTTGTTAGGCACTCGCTAACGTTTCTTTGACTGTTTCAGATTCAAGAAATTCTAGAAACTCTGGGACTCCAAGACCACAAGAACACGATGACCTCTAACCTCTCCGGAGGGCAGAAGAAGCGTCTTTCAATCGCTTTGGAGCTTGTAAACAACCCTCCTATCATGTTCTTTGACGAGCCAACAAGGTCAGTGATTTGTAAATAAATTTCATCGTTTTTAATGATTCTTTTTTCTTTCCCAAAGTGAGAATTTACATAGGTACTTTATGAGGATTTCGTGCCAAAATTTTTCATCTCAGAAAGGAAATTGTTTTGATGAAACCTTGATATTTCAATAATTTATTGGAGTGTTGGGTTATCATTGGATTTTTTTAGAGCAATCACGCAAATGAAAAAATACATATATGAAAATGATATATGTAATTAAAGGTTTTTCATGGGTAGCAGGTAAACCAGACTTGGGAAATTGTTATCTGGTACAAGGAATAATTACAGTCTAGGGCTTACAAATATTGTTGAGGTTTTCCACCATCAATGACATGAATCTAGAATGAGGTAGATTTAGGCAAAAAATATCTCTTCTGTTGCAGTGGGCTGGACAGCTCTTCGTGTTTCCAGTGCATTTCCCTGCTGAAGACATTGTCACGTGGAGGTCGTACGATCATCTGCACCATTCACCAGCCGAGCGCGCGACTGTTTGAGATGTTCGACCACTTGTACACACTGGCGGATGGTCAGTGTGTGTACCAGGGATCCACACAGCAACTCGTACCCTTCCTGGGCCGACTGGGGCTAGTGTGTCCGAGCTACCACAACCCTGCGTCCTTCGGTACTTGCATTTTACTTTACAGTAGTTTGTAGTTGCTCCTCAATAATAATATAATTTAACTTAATATGACTTTTGCCATCCACATGCTAAATAGTTCCTAAATTGTATTAAAGCGTTAGTTGGTCTTTGAGAAATAAAAAAAAAAAACACATTGATAAAAAGTAGAAAAGCCATCTTTTCAGCATTCACCATTTACATTTGTTAGAAAATTTTTCTGGATATATTCTAACCATCTGTACACTCCTACAGTGATTGAAGTGTCGTGTGGAGAGTACGGTGACAATGTTCGTAAGCTGGTGGCTGCCATCAAGAACGGCAAACATGACATCCGGGTGGGCAAACCGTTTCCTGAGATTGAAGCTTCGAACACTCTCAACAACGCCAACGCCAAGGTGAACAACGACATTGCGGCCGGTGAGAGAAAGATGTCCAATGGAACTACGGGAGTCAACAACATGCTGTTGGCTGCTACCAACGATATTGCCAAGGAGAACGCTAACTGTGAGTATAGTAGGCACAGTTACAAATGATTTTAATGAGTATTTTTCTCTGTGCGTTCACAGCAGTTTTTTTGGACTATTTATTTACTGAATTACTGACAAGACAAAGCTAGTTAAAGTTGGTAGTTAAGGAAGTGAAAACTAATTTCTGCAATATTTTTAGGACTAAATCTACTTCTTATTGATTATATTCTGAGCCAGTACTAATTACTGATTACTTATTAAATGCAAAGCATACAATGCACTATCACCTTGAATTTACCCCCTGTTTCCAGCTGTGTCATGAATTTCTCTAGAGGACTCCCTCCAAGCTGGCAGGGTTTCCACAGTTGATTTCTTCAGTGTCTAATCTTTTGTCTTCTAAAACACATTGTTCTTTTTTGTCCAATAGTATAACGGTGTACTAAAGAAGTGCAACTAAGTTTTGACCTGCTCTGGCAAAAGTTTTGAAGAGCTTTTGTCTTCACTGACTTGTTGCTAATTTATTTTACTTAGTGTCTCTTAAGTCTGCAGTGGCAAATTAAAAACCTTCCTTCTTTAAAAGCTTCAAAGAGTTCCTTAGTTTGACTCCAAGTAAAAAGCGTTGGCTACTCCATGATTTTTTTACCTCATTATATTTCTTGAGAACTTAAAAGTCCTACAGAGACATAAAAGCCATTGATCATGTATCCTATTACCTAATGTAGTCTCTAAATGTTACTAGTATATCAGTATGTCTCCATACAGAGAATTTCCTAAAATTGTTCCACTTCAGAACAATTATTCAGAATTATTATCTTTCTGTATTTCTACTTTTGGAATCAAGGATGTTCATTTTACCCTAATATTGTTTGTCATATTTTGGTGGTAGAATCTTAGTATATTGTATAAGTATTACAGTAGAGTCCTGCAAACTCGGCACTCGATAACCCGGCAGTCTGGATAACTCGGCCATCACCTGGCTCAGAAAATTTGTGATTTTTTGAGTCCGAGTTAAACATGGGCTCAAGTCAAATCATTCGCAACTCGTACCAAGGATTTCTTGTACGATATCTGATGACTTAATACTGACTTGTAATATAAATATAAATAAATAAGACAGCTAAAATGATAAAAAATGTATTGTTCTTATTTTTAACCCTAGTTCCCGATAACCCGGCATTTCACAAACTCGGCACCCTTCCAGTCCACATTACGCTGAGTTTGCGGGACTCTACTGTATTATAAAATTAAATCTGTCTGTGTAGTAAGCTGTTTGTCTAAAAATTGGCTCCCTTGCAGCAAGCAACGCTGTTGTGATTCCTGTAGATTTGACGGCCGAGAAACCAGCAGACGTTACTTCAACTCTGCTAGAGAACGCATTACCGAACACCCAGAAACGCTATGGAACGTCCGAGTTTAACCAGTTCTGGATCGTTCTCAAGCGAACACTTCTCTTCTCCAGAAGAGACTGGGTATGAACATTTACAAATGTAAAATATATTTCTTATGGTACGAAAAAAAAGAATACTTTAACATGCCACGCCAGTAGCAACTTCACCTCCTCATACAGTAGCAGTCATGAGCTACTTGGTACGAGAGTTTGCTTTTTATTTAGAAAACTATAAAGACTTGTGTAAGTCAGGAGCTTGTAAAATCTTCTTATTTCAGTTTCACAAGTAGGTTCACCAATAAAAAAGCATAGGCTAGTCCTCAGATGAAGAAAACTTTTCTATACAAGAGAAGTCCTTCAACTAAAATCTTGATGGCAAATAATAAAAGATAATTTAATTAGCAAGGTCTCATAAACAGACTGTATCTTCTCCTTCTGCAACATCTACAAACCTAGCCTATTCTTGTTCTGTTGTAGACCTTGATGTACCTTCGTCTCTTTGCTCACATTCTGGTGGGTTTCCTCATCGGAGCTTTGTACTACGACATCGGCAACGACGGAGCCAAAGTTCTCAGCAACCTCGGTTTCCTCTTTTTCAACATGTTGTTTCTCATGTACACTTCCATGACCATCACCATTCTGTCATGTGAGTTATATTGTAATATTTTTGAATTATCATAACTATTAATTAAATTGAGATAATTGTTATAGGTACAACTTTCTGATTTACATAAATGGCCCTTAACAAATTTTTCTGCGGGACTAACAAGTTTAGCCCTTGAGGAGCAAGCTGGTCTAGTGGTGGAGAACAAGGTTTTGGTCTCCAAGGTCTTAGGTTCAAATCCTAACAATCACCATTTGGCTATGTTATAGGCCTAGCTTCAAGCAATGTGTAAATCAATTCCAGGCTGGAGCCTATTAACATCCTTGGATGTGAAGGTGAGACAAAAAAAAGAAAAGAAATCCCAGGCCTGAAACTAATCTCTGAATTTAGGATTTTTTTGTAAAGATACATATTTAATGTTATGAAGTTGAATGATGTTTTTTTTTAATTTACCTATTTATTTAATTTGTTTGTGTTTCAGTCCCCCTTGAAATGCCTGTGCTTGTGAAAGAAAATTTCAATCGATGGTATTCATTACGCTCCTACTACCTGGCAATCACAATGTCCGACATTCCATTCCAGGTATGATTTGATGTAGAAAGCAAGCGAAATGTTTTGAATTTATTTGTGATATAAACAGCTTAAAATTCATATTGTATGAAGTACATTAAGGGCTTATTATTGTCATCATAAGTAGAATCATCATCATTATTCTCATAAAATTGAGACAAGTACACTATTATAAATAAATATTTTAACCTAATAAGGGCAATATAACTAAGAATAGAATGAAGTAAAATATTTAAGGAGGATAGATTAGGGTATTTTGTAGCTTTGTTGCTAGCTAAGGATAGCAGATTTCTTAGTCAGGGTCATTTATTGAAAGCACAATTATTATGAATTTGATTTGGAGACTATTCACTTTCCTCAGAATTGAACCAACGACCAAGGCTAACACTCCAATACCCAGCTCTTAGTTTTGTGGTACATACCATTTTTCAAAAGCCTCATGTCATGGTTTATTATGTTGTGTGTTTAACTTATTACATTTAGTACCTACTCAACCAGCGACTTGACTGTTTCAGGCAATTTTCTGTGTGATGTATGTCAGCATCGTATACTACATGACAGCTCAGCCGATGGAGATCGCTAGATACTGGATGTTCCTCAGCGCGTGTCTGCTCGTCTCCTTTGTGGCTCAGAGTGTCGGACTGGTGGTCGGAGCTGCGATGAACGTGCAGGTGCGTAAACATACAGTTTAGATATAAATTTATCTTGAGCCATTATTACTTTTTCATACTAACCAAAATTGTTGCTCTTGGTATTTTTAAGTAAGTAGTATGTAGTTGTGTGCTTTCCATGTAGAGATTGTCATTCTCAATATAATACTACAATTAATTGATGTTTTGTTGGTACAGTTTGGTGAATACTATGTCCTTCAACATTCATATCTAATTTTTATATAAAGCAGTATAAAATAGACACTGTGTTCTACACACATTTATGGAGTATGAGGGCTGTCTAGAAGGTAACAGATGTTTTTCATCTGCATTGCTAGAGATGGTGCTTTTGCCACCATCTTACCATCAGAGTATGCCTACACTCGTACGCATTCAGCCATGGGTAGCATCCACATAATATCTCCCGTACCTTGTCTACAATGGAGTGTTAAAATTTGTACTGTCATTGTATTTCCTGACACTTGTAAAGTGTGATCTGTGATCAGTTTGTTGTAACAAAAAATCTTAAGCAAATTTAAATTTATCTCCAAACTTGTGATATTTTCAGCAAACTAGTGATGAGTGAAGGCTGCTTGAGACGTTGAGATTGAACTTAAAAAATATATGGACAAATATTTACGATCAGGACCGCATGTTAGGCCTAGTCACTGTCACTCAGAAAGGATGAAATTGGAAAAAGATGAATCTGTTAAAGAACACTTTAAAGGCCTAAAAACTTTTCAACAGTTTATGGGCAGTTCATTTATGATCCAATCATCTACGTAAAATCTAACCCTGAAAAAGTAACTTTAAACAAACAAACACACTTTTACAATACAAGAAGTGGGAACAAAATCCAGACTGAACAGCATCGATTAAATTTGTATGAAAAGAAAACAACCTACAATGAATCAAAATTTGTGAAATACATACCAAGTTATATTAAAAATAACAACAATTTAAATTCCTTTAAACGTAAATTAAAAAGTTTCTTGACTGAAAAAACTATTTACTCTCTTTCTTGAGGATTTTTATAAAGGTGCTGGTTAGTTAATTTAGTGCTGATGCTTAAAACCATTGTCTATTAGACTGTTTACTTATGTTCTGTTCGGTATTTTAAGAATTTTTAATATTAATTTTGTTTGATTACATTTTAAAGTTTATGTTACAAATATTTTAATGTAATATAGGCTATTTTTACACTATTCAATGTAGGAATCATGTACAGATTATGAATAAATATATTTTGATTGATTGATTCATTGACTATGCACGGCGATTTTCACCAGTGGTGAAAATCGCCATTTCACAATTAACTATGGATGTTGTTACATTTTCACCAAATTTCACAGAGATCGGTGCATTGCGAAAAACTCCCAAACTTGGTTAATTAACTCCTTTTGGCATTTGGCAAACAAAAATCTGATCACAGAACCCACTTCACAAATGGTGGGACATTGCAATGACAGCACTCATTTTAACTCTCCATTGCAGAAAAATACTAGAGATATGATATTTACCAATACAAAACGTCTGTTACTTTCTGGACGCCCTCATATTTTAAATAAGTGCAAAAAGGTACCATACACTATCTCACATCAAACTCTTAAAAAAATAAATACCTACTGGGTAGCAACATTTCAAAGACTTCCACGCTCTGACTACAACTTAGAAATTTGTTGTTCAACTGAACACAAAATGTTACAGAACGGAGTGTTCCTTGCTCCGGTGATGTCTGTTCCATTCCTGTTGTTCTCTGGGTTCTTTGTCAGCTTCGATGCCATCCCCGTCTACCTGCGATGGATCACGTATCTATCCTACATCCGCTACGGGTTTGAAGGCACAGCCCTCGCCACTTACAGCTTTGGCCGAGAAAAACTCAAATGCTTCCAGGTGAGTTTATTCCTTTTATTATTCGAGTTTGAGTTTACCATTTTAAAATACTGGCTATAGAATTTTGACATAGTTTGGGGTACCTAAATGTCAGGTTCCTTTCTGATTGTTGATTGTAATTGAGAAATTATTGTAGGATTCAGTAATTTTACTCCTATAAACAAAAAAATGTTAAACAACTAAAAACAAAAATTGTAAGACATTACAAATTTTAACATAAGCAGCTTATAGACGGGGACAGTAGGGACGGCAAGTTGCTGGCTGCAAGTACTGTCAATTACGTCACTGGCCGTATGTTTTCCTATACACAGGGTAAGTACCATCAGCAAGTGACAAGGAAAGAATTTGCATCCAGTCTGCTTTGAGGTTACGAGTGATTGTGATAAAGAAATTTTTCAGCATAGTTAAGATGACGTTTGTTCCATAATAGTTCGTAATTTAAAAAAATTTCTAAAAACTTAGCGATGTAATCAAAGCTCCACTTAATGATTTTTTACCTTCTCAGCAGGGCCCTTGTCTGACATGTTAAAGAAACACACTCTCACTTCTATAAACACGATCAGCTCTGATTTCACTTGCCACCAGTAGAGCAGAATGCCAAGTACATGTTTTGACAGTTAAGTTCTGGCCGCCAGTGGTCATATGATCACCCAGTACTTGCCGCGGCCAGGCCAGTAAAATCAAACATGTTTGAGTTTAGCATCGTATAGACGAGGACTGCATACTTACCTTGTGTATAGGGGTACTTTCCTTTCCAGCGGCAAGTATTTGCTGGTGGCAAGAAAACTCAAATATCTTTGATTTTACTGGCCTGGCCGTGGCAGGTAGAGGGTCACATGACCACTGGTGGCCAGAACTTTCCTGGCAAAACGTGTGTTCTTGCCATGCACTTGCCGCCAGTAGAGCAGAGTGTCAAGTTAAATCAGAGTTGATCATGTTTATAGAAGTGGAACATGTAGTTTGTTTGAAATGTCAGACAGGCTGCTGAGAAGAAATATTCATGGAAGTGCTTTTGTTTTTAAAGTGTGTTTTCTTCAAGCAGCATTTTTATGACCCTCGAAATATGCCACATAGGCCTATTGGTTTGATATGGTAAAATGTTTTGTTAAATGTGTTTTAAAAATCTTTAAAATATAACTACCCGACAACCTTGCTCGCTGCCTATAACATACTTGAACTTGAACACTTATTAATTTACTAAATATAATACACATACAGCTAGAAAATGGCTGGACTGCTTCCCTTCCAAGGCTTTATCATTACTGTATTTAATTTTCGACGTCGAGTCAATATATAACACGATGAATTTGTTTTCTAAAATTCATATGTTATTTCGCGGGGCATTGAGTCGCTCAGGTTCATTAATAACAAAATTCGTCATCACAATCAGACATTCTCAACACAATTAAATTCAACTATCGACACTATTCGCTAACAACCTCATAGCAGACTGGCTGCAAGTTCTTTCCTTGTCACTTGCTGATGGTACTTACCCTGTGTATAGGAAAACATACGGCCAGTGACGTAATGGACAGTACGTGCAGCCAGCAACTTGCCATCCCTACTGTCCCCATCTATACGCTGCTTAAATTGATTACATGATACAAATCATTACCTATACTTACCATGATTTGTAACTATACATGTATACTCAGACTTTAAAGTTAGGTTAATGTGCAAAGGTAAGTCCCTGTACAAAATTTCCAGAAACAATCATTGCCAATGTACGAGCAGGCAATTCTTTGTATTTTTGGGCATGTCCTCTCCTCTTAGTCTCAGTAGAACTCCAATTATCCGAATCAAAATGTGATCGTACAGTACTACAATTCAATGATAAAAAATTTGGATTATAGATTTTAATTTTTATCAAACGTTGGGATATTTGATGGAAAACAGTCAAGCTGAGCTTTTACCAGTGCCATTACAGAACGTTACTAAAAAGATGATGATTTTTGTGTGACCTTTGGGAAAAAAATGTCTACAACACCGCATTACATGTTCAACGGCAGGAAAAGATGGTTATGTTTATTCGGCTGCATTAGATCTTCAGGATTTAGCTGTAATCACAGCTTCTGCCTTCTTTAATAACGATTTGTTTTAATGTAGCTTTAGGTTTTTAAATTCTTTCTGTAAGTGATTCGGATTGTTGGAGCTCGGATATTTGGAACTCTACTGAAATATTTATTTATTTTCGACGTTTTTCTCAGCAGTTATACACAACTTCAATCGCAGTTTTAAAAGTGTAAGGAAATCTTTTTGTTCTTGTATAAATGTAAGTTAATTCGTTTCAGACGTACTGTCACTTCAAATCCCCCGATACCACGCTGGAAGAGTTGGATATGACTGACGCTAGCTTTACACTGGACATTGTCGCTCTCATCATCATCTTCTTCACTCTGAGAGTCGCAGCCTTCCTGTTCCTGCGGTGGAAGTTGATGTCCACTCGTTAAACCGACAACCAGTTACGTTAGGGATCCAATCAGAAAGTGGGAAACCTCAAGCAAATGCTGTGGGTGTTGAAAAATTCTTGTTTACAAGAGAAATGAATTTACAAACCAGGGTGCCAACTTTTGTAGCAAGATCAATAATTGTGATCAATTTCAGGATAGTGAATTTTCATACTGTTTTATCACTAATGGAAATAACAGTTTGTATTTTATAACTTTTCAATAGCTTTTATCTGTAGCCTTTGCTGAAATCGGCCTTAAAATTTATACAGTATCAGACATAAAAATTATCAATGCAGTAGAAAGCAATAAATTATACTGTGGTTGTATTTTATATACAACAAATGTTTATAAATGTTTACTGATGTATAATTTTCATGAGTACCAGAAGTGCCTGCTAAAACCAAGTACAAGTTTGTTTGAATTTATTTTCTCTATGTAAATACTTTGTAAGTTACATAATAGTGATAAGAAATGTGTCTATTTGTCTGGAATTTGTGAAGAATATTTATATATTAAATACATTTTGTTATAGTACATCTTGCATGATGGTATGACTTATTTAAATTGACATACTTTCATCGGGTGCTAGATAATAAATTCTATTGAAGTCGTAAGTTTACAGTTTTGTTTGTTGTATTTAAATTTTCTGAACATAGAGGTAATTTTTAATCTCTGGAGTATCGGAGCATCTTAGTGTTCGTGAAGCAAACAGCGGAATGCGCTCAACTTGTACATAATGTAATACAGCCCAAGATACAAATATATATTTTTGTAACATTTACTAATCGGTGTGAGGAGAAATTTACATGTAAAATCATTCATACTCAGCACTTTTCTTTCTATTTTCCATTTGTAGTACCTCATGTAGAGTTTAAAAAAATCTTTGCCTCGGAAACGTGAATCTTTATGATCATACAATCTGCTTTAAAAACTAATTTTAATTTTGTTTGAATAATTGTCTATACTTTCTTTTATAGCTACAAATTGCCAGTGATGTTTGAAGCTCTCTATTTATCTAATTTTACATTCCTGACATCACACTATTACTGTATCTGTGGGTTCTTAGAATAGATTTGCATATTTATATGGATTTGTTATCTTACGTTTGATTATATTTTATATAAAAATGTGTACTTTGTGCTATGTTAAGTGATATATGTTTATAAAACGTATTAAAATGTCCATTGAGTTGTGATTTCACCCTGCATCAAAGAGTGTGCATATATTTTTTACAATAGATATCCTTCAAGACATCTTTTTGAAAGATGATATGCAGCAGTGCAGCTAACTTCTTGTGTCAAAGAAATTTAGTTTCTAAATAATGTATCAACGTTTTTTCCATACCACTTAGAATGGTTTGGAGGTTTTAAAAATGAATACTACAATAATAATATAAAGCGCTCAATGTGTCATACAATTTTAGTTCAGATGTACCAAAATCTTTAAAGGTTAGTTATACTTGTTGTAGTAAAATACCTCATACCACACGAGATTTATCTCACCTAGATGTGAGTTGGATTATATATTTGCATTAAGTCATGCCACCAACATCAATATTTTAGAATTAAATAGAAGCCTATATTTCATCACTAGGGCCTAAAGTGGACTCTTTTTGACCTGAGGTCAAGTTTTACGATCAAGGCGAAGCCGAGGTCGGAAAATGAGCAGGGGTTAAAAAGACACTTTTTGCCTGTGTGGTGAACTTTATTTTCCATCATATTGCATAATTAATTAACAAACTAAGCTAGAAATGAAATATTTTTTATGTTATCTGTTAAAAATTAAAGTGCATAAAAACAATAAGTTGGTCAAACACCCACTTACAGTGAGTAAAAAAAACCCTCTGTTCAAATATATATATAGGTATGCTTGAAAAACTAAGTAATAAAGCTTACTATACAGGGTGTCCCAGACCACCCGGCCGGCTTCTATATGACATTTAAAAAAATATATTTTCATCAGAGAAACGGAAATTTGCTTAGTCTGCTTAGACTGTGGCAGGGATTTGTAAAACCTCTTACATTGGATCAGCGGCGGGAGTAAACTATGATAGTTTATGGTTAGCAAATATTACAAAACTTTTGAACAGTTAGTTATTTTTACAGCAATGGGGTTTATACCATTTTGTTTAATTAAAAATAAGATGGCCATATACGATAAAAAAAGGTTTTATTTGAGTAAATATAGCATGTCGTTTTATTTGAGTAAATATTGCATGTCTTTTCAATGTAATAGCATTGATAGTCAATGGTTAGTCATGAAAATTTAAAAGGGGTTGAAGTAAAAAAATTGTTGTAGCCAAACAAGGCTGTGACAATTAACCTAAATAAATTACATACAGTAATGAAGTTTGTTTCAGCAAGGCCTGATGAGACATAAGATACAAACTAAAATGGAAAATGGAAAAAATGCAAAATTACAATGATTAAGTATTATTTTATTACACAAAAAAAGTATGACTAAATAGTTAAACTTTTTTACAACAATAAAGTTTGAATGAAGTACTTAGAACAACTAACTCATTTAACAAATCATTTTGGTTTACTGATACCTTTTATATCTAACAAAATTTATCTCTGTGTTTTGTTCACACATCATAGACAGTCATGTTAGCTTTAAACAGTAATGTAAGATAAACTGTATATACCAATACATTATATAAAATAAAACACTGTTATAAAGTATTGGATCAATCAATAATTAAAATATTGTCACAATTCAATGATATGTATGGAGCAAAGATTAGCATTATTCAGGTTTGCTAAACCTTATTAGGTTTGCTAAGGTTGATAAACCTAGGTTGTTGCAAAAATAAAAATTTAGACTCTATTAAATGGAATGGTATGAAATCAGGAAAATATATAGAGTAAGGGAATAGATGTTAATTTGTTTTCATAAACCTGTGTATTCTCCAACTAAACGTAACATGGCCATTGGATTCAATCATCTTGCCCTACTTAGTCGGACTTGTCTAAGCCTATTTCAACAGCTATAACAACACTGCCATCATTAACAAATCCTTTATCTTCATTGAGTAAAGCTTCCCAATTATAAAACTTTCTATATCCCCTACTACTATTTGTCATACTAAAAATAGTAGTAAAATTGTAGGTTTCATCAGATTTTCCATACTGATTTATGAGACGTATCTTAACATGAACACTACAGTTAAATTCTTCAGTTTTTCCTTGACAACCAATAAATACTTGTAAATAGTCATTCTGTTCAACCTCACGTTTAGCAACATAGAGGTACCAAAAATGCCCAGCCCAGGGATAAGATTGAGAATATTGTAACTTCCCCTGCTTCTGTTCAAGGTTTGTCAAACTAACAGAGAAGTAAAGTTGTGCAGAATGAGGCGTGCTAAGATACTGAGGATGTTCATTGCGCCAACCCTTTGTACATTCAGATACAGGATATCTATCATAGCGATTTTCCATAATTGTACTCAAATAATCAATGTCATGAGGTTTACTTGATACAAACGATTGGCAAATGGCACTTATTTCTTCTTTATTAAGAATTTCTGTAGAAACAACCCCGTCCCAAAATTCATTGTGTTTCATTGTCAAAAAACGGATGTGTTTTAAAAGGTCAAATATGTACTGCCGAAGAACGTTTCCTTCCACTGAATCTGATTTGAATTTGGCCCATTTCAAAACTGCATGCCACAGTTCGATTTCTTCGACTGGAATATAGTCCAACTGCAGTATCCACTTTATTCCACTCTTATTCACCTCCAAAAATCTATCATCACTTACTAATCTTTCTAGATTGAACTTCACAATTGAATACATTTTTCTCTTAAGACTTGGTGTTACACGACAGACTGGGTGGGAAAGAGCAACAAACATGTTCACAAATGAAAACGATTCTTCCATATCTTCAATCAATTCATCCTTCAAATCATCTACCAAGTACTTTTCATAAACATAGAGAAGTTTAGCCTTTTCCTCAAAAGTAAGCTCAGGTATTACCAGATGACTTGCTCCATAAATGCACTTTAAAAAGTTTCTGAATGTATCTGGTTCTACATCGTTCACTCGGATATCGCCTTTTTCAGCCATTCCACCATTCCCCAACATAGCCCTTAAAGGTTTACTGTAACCCATTAGAAAGACTCTAATAGCTCCAATTCTCTCCTCTGGGCTACCATCACAGCCTAGGACAAAAAAACAGTCATGTTCTGCTTCTGTAAGCCAGTAATTTACATGACATGGTATTTGTGAATCATCCATTTTTTAAATGTTGTCTTGAACAATTCTGGCGATTTCTAGCAGGCTATGTATGTGGTGTATATAATTGCTAACACTATGGATTTTGTTAGTGAAATAAATTAATGGTTCGGTTAGAAACGTGCTTACAATTGACTTAGGGATGCTGATGGGCAACACCTTCTGACTTGTTTTTAGCCTTTTGTCTCATGGTGTTGTCTTGGTTATTTTGTTTCACATTTTTATATCTGTAACAATCACAGAGTTGTATTAGTCACTTTTGCAATTTATGTATGTATTTTTGTATTGTGGAAGGAAGGAAGGAAGGAAAAAGCGCTTTATTTCCAAAATACCCAGTGCACAATAATTCGTCCCACGCAGGGGACGTGCCTACGCGCTACAGCAATGACCTTTCGGTCGTCTGCCGGGTTGGCACGTCTAAAACTAAATCAAAACAATTATTGGATTCCTTTAAAATAAAATTATAAATCTTTCCTTAAACTAACAATTATGGCCATTTTTGTATTGTCTGAAATATATTTTAGTATGTATACAATTTCAAAAGACATGTGAAAAAGACTAGCTCCAACTCCAGTCCAACACTCCTACATAGAGATAAGTATAGGCTACAAACTTCTTATGTCCATATCATCATATATATAGGTACTGGTAAACTGGACTGTTATCTAATTGTTGTGTAAATTAGTTGTCAAGTGTCTTCCAGTCCACTAACGATGTATAATAACTCCCGGATTGAGCGCTCAGGTTGAAGTACGGCTCTAAAAACGGGCTGTCGCTATCCTCGCTCTGTCCACCAGAAGTGGGAATAAAGGCATGACTCACCCTAGTGCAGAGCGTCGCGCCAGCTCACACCGCGTGTTGTTAAGTTTTTTGTCAAAATATTCAGAAGAAAAAAGTTTCTAAGGAATGTAAGAAAGTTTTACAAGCAGATATAATCCATATAAGTACTATACACTTCAGACTGAGTGTAAAAAGTAAATCTTATAAGAACATCCAATGATGATGAGAAAGTTAGATTTTTCATAAACATGTTCATTTGAACATTAGTCAGAGCAAAAATAACATTATAATTTTATTACATTGGCATGTCGGCATTTTGCTGGACAGGTATTTAAACATAAGCATAGCAGGTTGTAATTAGAAGATATACACGAAATATATACTGTCTTAGTAAAAAAATATATTATAGTTGTTATATAAAAGGAATGCAACATATTCCATGCAAATATGTTCAATTCATTGGTTATTCTCAGAGAAGTAAAATGTTTACAAAATGTGTTTTTTTTTCTAATATAAAATACTACTGTGAATGCAAAATTTATTCTATGATTTAAAGGAATTTTTTAAAAGTTATATACATCAATCATTTTAGCCTCTGGATTGCTTATATATTATTGATATTATAAGGCCTTACCTTAGCAATCCTGTTTTTTGATCCGAAATTAATTTCGGGCCCGAAGGTCCATCATCAGTCGGAATCTAGTAGACCAAATTTTTCTAAAATAGAATCCACCCGTTGGGTTTTGTAGAAAGTTTCACAACATTTAAGACAATACAAGTCATAGTCAATGTTGGATTAATTATATGTTGGATATAATTGAACAATTTCACATATACAGCAACACCAAGTCCAACCCATCTGAAATCCTCAATGACCAACGCAATTTTTCAGCAAACATAATTTTTGACACATTGCTGAAAATAAATAATCAATCAAACACCTGTCCACTTCGATCCAATTAAGCCAGAATCTTTTCAATCCGTAGTCAACATAACCTACAATCCCGTTGATTTTGACAGTTGCCGGCAACAGGTTCTCTAACCAAAGTGAGGTTATCTGACATTATAAAAACCATGGTTTTCAACCCTAATTGTTTTACTCTTTTCGCATTGGCTATGACTTGTATCTATATATATAATTCCGTAAGTCAAATTTTTGTAAAGAAATTGTGAGTGACTGGATGGCCGTAGAAGGATGGGAGGGGTCTTATTTTAAAGGTCTTGACGTGAATTTTGAGGGAAAACTATTTATTTTTCTTATTTTTTTACCATAAATTCACAACAGAATAAAACTTTTCCCATTAAAACAACATGGGGTTTTATTTGTTTACATCTTTTGAAATTAAAACATCTGTGCCACAGATTTGAAAATAGTGATCAATACACGCATTTGGTTTACTTTTAGCCAGTCAACTATGAAATGTATACTATAATAAAACTGAAATATTGAAGATTAGTCGGAAAAACGTCTGCATTCTTTGTTTATATTTAAATCATATACTCAAGTTTCATTTTTTCATGCTTTTACGTTATTGTCGTGTTAAAGGAATAAACGACATAGAATAAATATTCTGTATAAATAATCAAAGAGTCAAAATTAAATCTAACTTCTGTTTTGTTTTTATTTTTAAATCATATGTTCAAGTTTATTTTAAATGATGTTGTTTTCTTTATATTTCTACACATTTTAAGGTTAAGGTTGTGTAAATATATACAACTAAAAAAATAACCTTTAAATGTTATTGGTTCTAAAATGGTGTATTTGCATTCCTTAGTTACCGGTAGCTGAAATTCTATTAGAAAATCCATTTGCACAAATTTACAAAAGAGCTTCGGAAGAAATGGTTGTACAAGGTGACAGTGAATTAGAACTTAGGTTTGTAGACAGGATAAATATGGATCGTCGTAGGTATAATAAGCCTACTGCAGATGAAATTTCAGGCGTCTTCAATTCATCTGAAGGCGAACCTCCAATGAATTTTTAAAATTCCAAACAGGGAAGCTTTTATTTATCCTCATTAACCACAAGACCAAAGCTACCTTAGTAAACCAGTATTTATTCACAAACAATGATATGTTTGCTGCCTTTTCATGTTAAACCACTGGAGTGATTCAAATTATTTATTGAAAATGACATCAACAAAAGCAAACAAAGAAGAACAACAAACTGGTTTTTACACAAAAGATATGGTGTAGGGATGCCTATTCTGACACATAGATAGGCCTAATGTTATTCTGAGTTTGTTTAAATACCGGTATTGCAAAAAGTTGTTTTACATTTGAGCTTTTTAGGGACTTATGTCCCTACAAGCCACTAGTTGTCTTAAATGTTGTGAAACTTTCTACGAAACCCAACGGGTGGATTCTATTTTAGAAAAATTTGATCTACTAGATTCCGACTGATGATGGACCTTCGGGCCCGAAATTAATTTTGGATCAAAAAACAGGATTGCTAAGGTAAGGCCTTATAATAGCAATTTATATACTTTATGGTAAGTAATGAAATGTACATACGCAGCGTTTGTATATTTAGTAGTAGCCTATCCTTTGTAATAAAATAACACATTTTATGTAATATAATGATAATTACATCCCAGAAACACAGTTTCTAAATCAAGTAAACTGATGCCGAGCTACTGGCGCCAATGCCTCGCCAGGCGATTTTCTGCTTTTGTAACGCTTAAAAATGGTAAGCAGATTCCATATCAAAAAAGCTTCAAATAAAAAGTACCCCCGCCGCAGCAAACCTGCAGACTTAGCGAATTTCCATTTGACTGATTGGTTTTACATTCAAATGTCTCCTTAAAATTATCCCATTTATTCCCTATTTAAATATAATTAGTTTAACGAGTACTTAGGTTTGCTGCAACAGGGAGGATAAAGTGTTTTTTGTTTGTAAAATGTTAATACTGTAGTTTAGTAAGAAATTAATGTATTTTTCAAATTTGATCAAAATATGTTCATAAACAAGCAAACTATAACAGTTGACTTATTCTCCATAAGAATAACACGGGAATTTTAAATTTTTTTTAAATTTTCTCCGTTTCAACCAATATGCACACAACAACGCTTCAATATACAAAATTATTTATTTTTTTAAGCTCTACAAAATGGTCTGGAAAGAAATTGTGAAAATTTATGTTTTAAGAGTCAAAATGGGAAAAACCAATTTTTACCCCATAAAACCCCCGTTCCCATAGTCCGATCATGCTGGTTCGCGAACTCGTTCGGATAAATGTAGGTTTACACATTTCTACCAATTTTCATCAAAATCGGATCATTTTTGCTCAAGTTATCGAGCTAACGGACACATATATATTATATAAATATATATATATATATTTAAGAAAATATAAACGAATATATATATATAAATGTATATATATATACAGGGTGTCCCGGAACTCTCTACCAATATTTTAGGGCATTGCTCCTGGGTAAGAAACATACCTAAATATCATATTTAAATTGTCCGGAAGTCCTTAGTTACTCACACAGCCGCCATTTTGTTTTTTCAGTTATTAATTTTTTTCTAAAGAATCGTTAAACATACGAAATGGAAACTTTGCACAAACATTTTTGATAACTAGACAAAGCTACAAAAAAATTATGACGATCTTTCAAATTCATAAAACAAAATGGCGGCCATTTAAAGTTTTTGTAAAATCAACGGTTTTTGAGTTATTTAAGAAACAAAACTTTAAACGGCTGCCATTTTGTTTTAAGAATTTGAAAAATCGTCATAATTTTTTGTAGCTTTGTTTAGTTGTCATAAATGTTTGTGCAAAGTTTCCATTTCGTATGTTTAACCATTCTTCGGAAAAAAATTAATAACTGAAAAAAACAAAATGGCGGCTGTGTGAGTAACTAAGGACTTCCGGACAATTTAAATATGATATTTAGGTATGTTTCTTACCCAGGAGCAATGCCCTAAAGTATTGGTAGAGAGTTCCGGGACACCCTGTATATGAATTTGAACGGACGGTGTTTTTGGCCTCTGGGGACCTTAAAACGGAAAAGTAAATCGGTCCCAGGTCCAGGTATTACCATGAGTACTACGGTAATAGCTTATTCCCTATATGGGAAATTCGCTAAAATCATACTTTAATCTTAATTTTTCCACAGGAATTTTTTTCCTGAACAGTCACCAAAAAATAAAAAAAATCCTCGCTTACCTTACTACATTTCTAGTGATTTTAGTGGTGTTTAAAAACTATCATCACTTTTAATTTGCCTGAATAAAAAATAAACAATAGGCCCATGTTAAGGTTAAAACTATCTACACAGTAATATTTTAGAAGCACTGGCTTTCCAGAAAATTAAAATATAAATTTGATATTTTTACATAAAAAAAAATTGAAGTAGGGCAGGTCGAGTGAATTAATGTTTGTGTAAGACATCATAGGTTCATTCGGGCCCGTCTGCCTCAGTATACCACCATTTGGAATAGTGGGCACGGCCCGATTTTCCACCACACAGTCCAGGTGGAGAGTACTATCGGTATGATAGATCGATGGGGTCCACCCTTTGTCACAGGATTCCGGGTGTAATTAGCTTTTAATATTTAAAGATTAGGCACTCAAAACATGTAACTCTTAAAAAAAAATTCTTGACTCCTGTGACTATTAATTTCTTTTTTGGGGGGTCACCAACAACTTTTGACCTAGGCTACCGGTAATGTTAACTATCTGAAAATGTTTTTGATTTTAATAGGACATTTTTGCTTAGGTTAAATTTGGATATTAATGATACTTTCAGAGCTTTATTTACTGTTGTTCATAATCAAATAATTTATTCACACACAAACAACAACAAATAGGCTACCGTACCTTACTCCAGGAGGTGACAGCTAAAGATTTTTAGATGTAATGATGAACCAATAACACATCCAATCTGAAAAAATAAATACTATAGCCTATCAAACCACCATATTAGACCACCACTTCTTAATCTGCAATATCCAACAGAAACTGGATCGCGCCAAAGCCACATACAAATACTCAAGAAACTTCTCTGTCAAAAAAACTAGACAAACTAAAAACAAAACTCAGCAATATAAATTGAAATAATGTGTACAAAGCTAAAAAAATAATGATAATTACAACACCTTTTTAACCCTAATAACAGACAAAATCAATGAAGTGATGCCAAGAGAACAAAAAAGCTAAATGTAAAGAAACCCCAGGTATTGTGGGATGAAAACATAGTGGCTTCAAAAAGAAAACTGGATGAAAGACAGAATAAATATCATTCAAGTGGCCTAGACAAGGACAAAGACAACTATACCCAAGCTAAAAAAGACTATGATCAAAACATAAAAAATAAAAAATCAAGTACAACTATGAAAAAAAATAGACTCAGCAGATAACAAGACGAATGCAATCTGGAATGTAATAAACCAAGAAAAAGGACCAGTCAACAAAAGACTCATGAACAAATATCTTAACTGAACAACGACAAAATGGTGACTGATCCATACCACATAACAAATCTTCAATAAATTCTTTGCCCAACAACCTCTAATATAATAGAAACCCAAAACCAAATTAACTTAAACAATTCCCAAGGAAAAAACATCCCACCGCTACGCAAATTTAACAAGACCACAAAAAAAGAACTAGTACTCCTCATACAAAGGTTAAAATCCAAATAAACTCTACAGGCTTCGACGACATAACAGGAAAAATGATAAAACACTGCAAAGAAGAATTAGTAAATCCCATCCTACACATAATAAACAACTCAATCGAACAACAAGAAATCCCAAAAAGAATTAATGTTGCAAAAATATACCCAAAATTCAAAAAAGGCGATAAAAATAATCCAACAAACTACAGGCCGATCGCAAACCTACCGGCTCTATCAAAACTCCTCGAAAGAGTCGTCTACAACCAAATCACAGACCACATAGAAAAATATAACTTAATTACAGCAAACCAACATGGATTTAGAAAAACTAAGTACCAACACAGCTATAGCACAACTCTGTGATGACAAAACCAAAATTTGGGAACATAAAGAATCAGCATCAGGCATCTTCATAGATCTGCAAAAGGCTTTTGACACCGCTGGACTGGAACATACTTATTCAAAAAATGCAGCAGTTAAAAATGAAGCTCTAAACTGGATAAAAAATTACCTGACGGACAGACAACAATTTGTAGAAATAAACAACCAAAATAAAAACATGATAACTACAGTCAAATCCTCACTTAAAACAACAGCTTGGGGAATACCACAAGGATCGATCCTGGGGCCCCTATTCTTTATAATATACATCAACGAAACGAACTCCCAATTCAACTTCAAAATGACCAAAAATGTATCCTGTTTGCAGACGACCCTATGCTAATTATCCCCACAAAATCAAGTGCAACATTTGCCAAAAGATAAATAAGATGCTCAAC